CACCCACACCCACACCCACCCACACCCACACCCACACCCACACCCTATCAAACATTTTGATGAGATTAGCTTAAGAATTAAGGAACTATTTGATAGAAATGGAGATAATGCTTTAGAATATATGAAAATATTGGTTAATGATATGGATACTCTTCGTACTATTCCAGAACTTGAGACAAAGTGTGCTGGAACATATTATCATACGATTGAAAACATACGTGGTTACATGCAACAACTACAAGGAGAAGCAGAAAAGTTAGTCATTGCTATTGATCAACAGTCAGGTATCACCAACTATAGACATATTGCACGTTCATTGGCACGTTTGAAAAATGCCTCATGGATCGATCAGATTAGTCCAGGAATATATGATAATGTAATGCGTCGTATTACAGAAGAATTAGTGCAATATGCTTGTCAATTGGAAGATAGTTTCATGAAAGTAGATTTTAGTTTGAAATGTCCAGAGAATGTTTCTATTGCGAAAGAGATTGTTGACAAAATTGAATCTATGCAAGATTTAGAACGTAGTATTCCAGAATTAGAAAAGTATAGAAATAGTATCCTCCAGCGTTTTTTGCGTTGTACACAGGAAGCTTTCGATCGAATACAAAAGACTTTTAATTTACAAGATAAAGATCTTTATCAAATAAAACAGAAGTTAAAAGAACTTGAAGAAATTAAACGAGAATATAGTAATTTACATCCAGCTCGTATTTATCTACAAAAACAAGGTTATTCAAACATCAATATGCTAACTAATGACATGGAAGAGTTAAAAGTAAAAAGAAAACTGGAAAATGATGTATTACTAGCTGCGCAATGTGATATGGGATCTGAGTTGCAAAATTTAAACTCAATTGTTCAAAACTACATGAATCTGTTGTCTTCGTCATCGACAGATCAAGATGTATTTCAAACATTGTCAAGTATGATAGGATTAGATTTTCAAAACCAAAGCTCACAGACAGATACTTATTTAAGATCATTAGGATATTCATGTATTGAATCAGTATACGAAAAGATTTTAGACGTTAAGAAAAATTATCGTCAAAAATTACAACGAATTGAAGATCAAAATACAGAATTAAGTCTTTTATTAGATCGTCTTGAATCCATAAAAAAAGAGCATGACTTACTGATAACTACTCGTCATTCACCTTCTGAAGAAGCTAGTTTTCTTCAAGAAAAAGGATTCAACAGTTATGAATTACTTGATAATAGTATACAAGAAATAACAAGAGTTATTAATGAACAGGGAAGAAATCAACAATCATATCATTTTAATGATAGATTAAATGCTTTAACAGCAAATAATGCATTAATATATATACGTCAATGTGAAAAAGTAGGTCATGATCGTGTAAGAGAAAATGCTATTGATGCCAATGAAAACTTACGAAAATATATAAGAGAATATGGTATTTTTTTAAAACATGAAATAATTACAAAATTTAATTATATGCACACTGTTGACGATGAAAAGGATCCATTTTTGTATTCTCAAGATTTAGAAATACGTCTACAAGAGTTGTCATCTTTCAGTCGATTTTCGTATGTCTTCGAATGTATAAATGAAGCTGAAATGATAGAAGATTTTCATCAGAAATTTCTTGAATTTCATCGTACTTTAAGTTCTAAAATGGAAGAATATAAAAATCCTTCTAAAATTAAAGAATTAAGAAATCAAGTAATCATTGCACAAGCATTAACTTGTGTTGATCGTTTCTGTGCAAATATTTTTTCTGGTAATGGATTTGCAGCTTTATACAGACAATATGAAGGAGAAATACATAAAGAATGTAGAATAGCATATAAAACTGTTTTAGATCATATATCGAAAGGAGACTATGCAAATGCAGATATGGCATTATCTGATATTCAGGATAAACCTTTAAATCCAAGAGATAAAGCTCAAATTCAGAATGATTTACATTGCTCTTTAAATAAGCTCATGAAAGACACAAAAAGTATTGCGAATTGGCTCGATGGAAAAATTGAAAGAGAAGATAATAGAAGTCAAATAACTGAAATTAAAGAAAATATTGAGAAAATTCGAATTGCTTGTAATAAACATATGATTATGAAACTTCTTGATGAAGATATACAAACTAGTCTTCAAAAATTTGACAATGAAATTAATGAGATTTTATCTAGAATCATTTTAAAAGGATTGAATTCTATTGAAGCATTTATGGATGCTGATAGTTTTTCTGAAGCCGAACATGGCATGGAAACTCTTAGTAAAGTACAACGTGAATTAGCAGGCTATTGTATATCATCAGATGTAACTAAGAAAAGTGACGAACTAAGAGAAAGTTTGGATCAAATAGTTACCAAAATTTTGGAACGAAGTGATTTTGAAGATGTTAATAAATATTCTATCAATTCACCAAAAGATCTTTTAGCTAAATTAAAAATGGTTGCTTCTCATGGTAGTGCTAGATTTACTCAAGCTCATAATTCGATGGTAGGAAAAATTAGACAAACTTTTAGTTTAGCTATTGATCAAGTTCATAAAGCTTCTTTAAATGAACGTTCTCTGAAAATTCATTCATTAAATTATGCACTATGTTTTTTACCGGAAGATTTACAAATTCAGTTTAAATTACAAATTGATGAGTTGAGTAAGTTAATTATCGATGAAGAAACGGCATACAGACAGGATCTTGAGAGATCATTTACAAATATAAATGAAGATGAACATGCTATTACAAGATTAGGAGTTCTAGCTGAAAAATACAGCAAACATGATATGCATGATCTTCTTAAAACACTACGAGAACAATGTCTTAAACAATTACATATGTATCGAATGAACATACAAAAGTTTTTCGATGAACAAAATGTACAATCTGCTATCGATACTATTAAGAAAATATTAAAATATGAAGAATCAGTCGGTTATTATATTTCTGAAATAAAAGAAGTTTGAAATAATGTTCGAGATTCAACAATAAAACAAATTTCAAATTGTTGTGATACTCTTGGAAATCTATATTTAATTGAACAAATACATGTAATCGAAAAAGCTTTTAGTGATATGTTAATTTATCTAAATTTTTCAAATATATCGAATAAGAGAGTCAGAGAATTTTTTACAGATGAAATTTTACAAAATATTCGAGA